ACATGTAACAGAGTCAAATATACAACAGTAATATGTAGTATTATAATTACACAAAATCGGTTTTAATAGTTATAACCTGACATCTCCGGCCTTCTGAGTCAATATGTGGAACGTTTGGGACTCAGTGTCTGTACCCCAACGTTCACTTCCGTGGGTCCCCCCTATAAATGTGTCTCACGCTTTTGCCTCTCCCCTTTTGCTGTTGTACTCCTTGGGAGAGGTGAGCGACACTGTGGTCACAGAAATTTCCGTGTTTTAGCCTCTCTTAAACTACACTTATAAGTTTACCTGCTACCTTAAACTTATTGTGTAGTACGCTAACATATTTCTGTCATTTAATTTGTGTAGGAGCTCACGTTGATAACGACTGACCGGAGGATATTGTTGTTATTTACACCTTTGTCAGAATAAACGGAGATCGCCTCCAAAGATATCCTGGTCTGGGCCTCTTCATCAAAACACAACGCAGACAACGCCAGAAACTAACCGGTTACACACACATGCCCTGTGCTGAAGTCAGTTATAAGTAGGATATCAAACAATGAGAAAACACATTGGAGTGGACACAATAATGTGAACACCGATGCAGGATAATGCAATCCACTGCAACAGAGCTCATTCTCATCAATCATCTGACAATGGTGCTTTCTATGACTCAGCTTCTATATGAGACTGCATTATATACAGGTTGCCTTGCAGCATAAATCATCAATAAATTAAATCCTGCTTGTTTACTAAAGATTTATAATAATAATAAATAATAAAGCATTTTATTTAAAGAGTGCTTTTCAAGAAACTCAAAGACACTTCACATAAGTTGAAAAGGGAGAAAAGGTAATAAAAAACAAAACACTAAAAAAGCAATGACTGATTTTTGTTTTTTATTGATTAAAGTAATATGATACACATTGAATAGTACAGATTGTAATGCTCAACATCCAGAGGAACACACAGGCAGCTGATCTCAGAGCAGTTCAGACTGCAGCACTGAGAGTCATCTCCACTGGTTGTGATTCCTCTGTCAGTCACTGCTGGATGAAGCTCTCCTCTCCTCTACCTCCCAGTAACATGGCCCAGTCAGAACTGATGCTGCTGCTTCAACCTCTCTGATTGATGGTTTGATTTTATCTCTGGACAATCACCAGGACACATCTGATCCTCTCTCAACACAGCCACCTTTCTAGTCACTCACATTATAACGGAGTACGACAGAGATCACTTCCATCTGAAAAAAGGAGAAGACAGACATAAAGTCATAAATCAGTGTTTATAGAGACCCTCCCTCCCCATCAATGTTTGATCTACTTTCACTCCCTGCTAATCCAAATGGACAAAGAGGTGGAGCGTTGGTGGGGCTTAGACGGCTGAGTGAAGCCTGGTGACTGAAAACAGCCATTGACTGTGACTGAATTATGCATAACTTTAAGCCAAAATATAATGTAAACAGGTGAGTCATATAAAACTTCACTCTTAGCTATAGACACAAAAACAGTTTTTTGTACCAAGCTGTAAACATGTTTCTTTCTTCTGTAAAGTTGGACATTTTAACATGGGGCCTTATAGACTCACTTTTGGAGCCTTCAAGGAAATGCAGTTTTTATTACTTCAGTGTTGGCTTCATTAGCAGCCACAGAGGTTGCTTCTTGGTCAAAGAGACATCAGCTCAAACACATAATCACAACAAGCTTCTGGCTCTCTGATTGGCTGACTGTTCTCTGTCTTTCTATCTAATCCAGTCTGTCACCATTCTCCTCTCACAGCTTCACCGAAAAAAAATGGAAATACCAGATCTTTGCTTTGATAATAATTGTGTTTAGTACAATAGTGCTGAAACCATGGACTGACTCCAACCCTCTACTGACCTCAGAGTCTCCAGTCTACAGTGTGGACTCTCCAGAAAACCACACAGCAGCTTCACTCCTGAATCCTGCAGCTTGTTTCCTCTCAGGTCCAGCTCTCTCAGATGGGAGGGGTTGGACTTCAGAGCTGAGACCAGATAATCACAGCTGATCTCTGACAACCTGCAGTAACTCAGTCTGAATAAAGAATAAAAGATGTGAGTTTAGAAGACAATGTTCCTGCTTGAAATCATTCAGTGTTTAATAATCTGTTCAGAGCTGAAGAAGGTTTACAATGTACAAGTTTAGGAAATGGAAACTCCAAACACCTGAACCCAACAGGATGCAGGTTGCAAACTGTAAAATACAAAGAGTGAAAAAGAGCTCTCATTAATATTAATGACAACGTGCTGCTGCTTCAATAAAAACCTAGTGACTTCAGCTCTTAACCTCTACCAGCTCACTACCATCTACCATCTGAGGAGACCCAGCCATGATCAGACGGTGCTGATCCTAACTGTAACAAGAGAAATCACTGTTATAATTCTAACATACATTATAAATTGTAAGACTTACTTAAACCAGCTGGGTTAATGTAGGTCATTTCTCAGTTCTGCATGGGTACAGGTCCCAGCTTTCAAATAATAGACAGTAGGGTTTTATGTAGTATATTTACATGTCTTTTTGGGTTTGGGAAAGAAAAGGGGAAAGATCAGGGAAAAAAAGAGGAGGAGGAGGAGGAGGAGGAGGAGGAGGAGGAAAAGTAAGACAGAGAAAGACAAATGATACATGTCTACAGAACTGATTGGACAATAATTATTTAAAACTTCTTAAACTAAAAAATACCTTTGGAAATCATGTATCTCTAATCCACAAAGAATATACCTGAGTAGATATTGCATTGCCCAGTCCTCAAACTCACAACTTTAGACACCAAGTGAGAAACCATGGCTTCACTCTATGAATGGCAATCACCAGGGTTTGCATGTAAAAGCAGATTTCAAACTAGTGTCAAACATTCAGCTATCAGGACAAATTTCAGAGCATTTGTGTTCATTTAAACAACATGGAGATGTCTGTAATTTATTTTTTACAATATAGATATATATATATGCTCAATATCCATTTATTGCAATAGTTTAGTCAAGGATAGAATTCAAAATAGTTCCCAAAATGTGGTTTTTGAATAACAGTTCTGAAATTGATCGCACTACTTCTGCCATGCATCAACATTTTCTCATTTTTTAATCATCCAAAATGTTGATGCACTGTGGGAAATATTTCTGATCATTTAATAATGTAGCTGGATTGTTTCTGGAGGACAGTCTGGTGTCAATTGAGTAACAATATTAACACAAAACTTGCAAATTTCACCACATATGAATCTCCATACAGATATAAAAAATGGTGTCTGACCTCAGAGTCTCCAGTCTACAGTGTGGACTCTCCAGAAAACCACACAGCAGCTTTACTCCTGAATCCTGCAGGTCTTTGTTTCCCCACAAGTCCAACTCTCTCAGATGGGAGGGGTTGGACTTCAGAGCTGAGACCAGATAATCACAGCTGATCTCTGACAAACTGCAGCCTATCAATCTGAATAAAGAATAAAAGATGTGAGAAGCAAGTTTTTGTGTTTGAAATAATTAATGAATGAATAATAAGAGCTGAAGAAGGTTGAGAATGTAAAAGTTTAGAAAATGGAAACTTCAAACAGTAAAGTGAAAATAACTTCTTATCAATCACTACTGTCAGTAATATAGTGAAAGGTTTTTCTAAAAGTTACCTCCAACGACAGATCCTCTGGTCTAACATCTGGAAAGCAGACTTCCATTGCATCAGATTCTTAGTCCAAGCTGTCTAGAATACCCTTATCCAGTCCAGTAAACCTTCACATCTCATTGTTCTGGAAGAGGAACCCTGGAAAAGCTCCTTAGCAGCTGCCCAAAAGCTCTTGGGAGACACGCACTATCGCTGGCACCATGACCAGGTTCTCAGGGCAGTTGCTGAGAGTGTAGGCACAGCCATTAACGCCAACAAGGGCCACCACTAGCCAAAGAACACCATGCTCAGTGCTGGAGAGAAGCCCAATATCCAACCTAGAGGGAAGTCAGGCCTCCCCACCACAGTCCCAGACTGCAAGTGGACCTGGGTAAGCAGCTGAAGTTCCCAGCCCATATAACAACATGGCTTTGATCAGACATGATCATTATTGCAGAGTCCACCAAGCAACTGATCACGCTGAAGCTCACAGTGCCCTTGGAAGAGTGTATGGACAAAGATAAAGTACCAGGAGCTGGAAGAGGAGCGCATAACGTAATGTACTGGTGCATCCCAGTGCATCTACAGGATTTCTTTTACAACATTGATACTAAGAACACAACCTGACTCAACATGTGTTTTTGTGACAATTTATGCAAACCCAATGTCCCGACTTTGAAAAAGTAGTAATAGTAGTAGTAGTAGTAGAGATTTAATGTCTGGTTTATCATGTCACAACACTGCCATCTAGTAACAGACAAATATCTATAACCGTTGCCATCGTTATGAATCTTTGTAAGAGTGTAACCATTATAATGTATGTATATTACGTAAGCAAACTAAGTTTAGCCTTCTGCCATTTATTAGTAGTATTGAATTATGTTTTGATTAGTTTGCTGAAATAGTTGCTGGTTAAATAACATCTTTCCAGGGAAGCTGAAAGTGTTATACCCTGATGATTGGAGTACACCTTTTTTTAAAATGGGAACCACCAACGCAGTCTGCCAATATAATAATGTCCAGACCTTTAAGCATCTGGACATTGTCTCAACTACCTCAGAAACCTCTGCCAGGGAAATTGGTTAGGCTTTCTAAAAGTTTTTAGACTCTGCCTTCTCCATAGAGGACGTGTTTTTCAGTTCAGGTAGAATATGTATGTGTCTTTGATGTAACCACCATATGCTCAGCATGCACAAGCTTCAAACAGATGTTACATTGGAGACAAAGTCATATGTGAAGCGGGAGTTTTAAAAGGTCCTCTCCACAGTGTGAATTTAAGGTGACACAGTCCAGTCTCTCCGGCTGGCAGAGAAGCTCTCTGTGATGCAGGTGGACCAGGACCTTGTTGCCTGGGTCACTGACTACCTCACTGACAGACGACAGTATGTCAGACTGCACAGCTGCTTGTCAGACGTGGTGACGAGCAGCACTAGCACACCCCAAGGAACTGTACTATCCCCGTTCCTGTTCACCCTCTACACCTCTGACTTCTGCTTCCACTCGGGAGCGTGCCACCTACAGAAGTTCTCTGATGATTCCTCTATTGTTGGCTATATCATAGATGATAGGGTGGAGGAGTACAGAGACCTGATTGAGAACTTCATTGGATGGTGCGACAAAAACCACCTACAGTTCAACACAGGGAAAACCAAGTAGCTGGTGGTGGACTTCCAGCCAGGATAGACATGGTGGACACCTACAAGTTCCTGGGGATGCAGCTCAACAATAATCTGGACTGGACGGATCGCACTGAGGCCCTCTACAAGAAAGGACAGAGCAGGCTGTTCTTTCTGAGGAGGCTCAGGTGCTTCAACGTGTGCACTCGGCTACTACAGATGTTCTAACAGTCTATGTGGGCCAGTGTCATCTTCTTTGCTGTGGTGTACTGAGGAGGAGGCATCGGGACTCGTGGTGCCAACAAACTGAGTAAGCTGGTGAAGAAAGCCAGCTTGGTGGAGAGGATGGATCTGGACAATGTGGAGGCTGTGACTGAGAGGAGGATGAGAGGGAAGCTGAAAGCCATTATGGACAGCTACAGACTGATCCAGCCCAGAATCAGCCATCAGACTCCACAACGCCCCAGCATCCAGTACCTCCAACCTCAGCTGATTAAAACTGGTTGAACTTTAACCTACTATGCACAAACTTTTTTCACAAACTACACCTTGCAAATGTACACTTTAGTTTATACTATTTAGTTATACACTGTTTAAAATATTTTGCACACCATTCTACTGCATATAGTCTTATATTTTCTATTATATCATTATAATATTTTTATTTTATTATTCTTTATTGTACTTTTACACTTCTGTACTTTCTGCATTACATTCCCCTATGCTGCTGTGTCTGACTTGAGTGTCTCCCACAGGGCATAAATAAAGGAACATCTTATCTTAAAAAGAAATGGTCAAATCGCAGGAATTAATTTGCCTGGCAACGCTGTTTAACTTTAACTAAAAACATTGGCAGAGCTGACACAAAACACTGTGGGTGGTGTGTGGGCTTTTTTGGAGGGGGGTCTTAAAGAAATTTAAGTGTTTCAGATAGAAATAACCACTATGAGAAGAATGTGAACACTTAAGCATGTAAACCTATGATAGTAAACTTTGATGAACCTTAAAATGAGCATTATATGGTCTCTTTAATGTCTTCATCCCCAGCCTTGTATGTGTGAATACAGACATTCTCTTAAATGTACTAAATCCTGAAGCGGGATAACTAATCATATTAATCTCAACATAGAAATAAAAAATCATGTCTGACCTCAGAGTCTCCAGTCTACAGTGTGGACTCTCCAGAAAATTACACAGCAGCTTCACTCCTGAATCCTGCAGGGTGTTTCCAGTCAGCCACAGCTCTCTCAGATGGGAGGGGTTGGACTTCAGAGCTGAGACCAGATAATCACAGCTGATCTCTGACAAACTGCAGCGACTCAATCTGAATAAAGAATAAATTATATAACTATACAAGTCAGTTTTTCAGCTTGATATAATTTATTCTATTTATTATAGAAAATTCTACTGTTCAGAAAAAGAATTCTCAATATTCTCAATTCAATTCAAATCCAAAATAAATACGAAGTTATCACAACACATTATAGAGCAGGTCTAGACCATAATAATTACAGAGACCCAACAAGAAGTAATAATAATATCAAATGTATTATTATTAATGACAACATGCTGCTACTTCAGCAAAGATGTAGTGACTTCACCTCTTTACTTATTGGCTCCATCTATACAAATTCGTTGTGCGGCCAAACACAAATATAAACCCACAGAAATTCTCTCAGAAAGTTTCCAAGGATTCAAAATGTGTCAGGTTAAATTTTAGGGAAAAGTAAACAAATGATTCACATGAAATCTACAACATTTTCATATTATGTAGTGGTGATGCTATTTAAGAAGCATGGTGTGTTTGGTATGAATATCTCACTCAGTATGGCTTTTGTGAATTATCCAGTGCAGATTTTTCTTTTTATGGTCAGGTTTTAAATCAGCATTGCTCTGCCACAATTACTGGAATAAACCACTGAAGAAGAAAACAGACTTTAGCATTAAGATACTCAGTGTGGATCAGTATAATATCAGCCTTATGTCTGCACTTTACTGTCAGCACAACTTTCACATCACATTCATCTCAGCACAGAAATAAAACATGGTGTCTGACCTCAGAGTCTCCAGTCTACAGTGTGGACTCTCCAGAAAACCACACAGCAGCTTCACTCCTGAATCCTGCAGGTTGTTTCCTCTCAGCTCCAGCACTCTCAGATGGAAGGGGTTGGACTTCAGAGCTGAGACCAGAGAAGAACAGCTGATCTCTGACAAATCGCAGCGACTCAATCTGAATAAAGAATAAAAGATGTCTATTCTTAAATCAAATTACGTTTTTTCACTTGAAATCATTGAATGTTTAATAATCTGTTTAGTGCTCAAGAGGGTTTAGAATGTAAATTCAATGTTATAAAAATGGTGTCTGACCTCAGAGTCTCCAGTCTACAGTGTGGACTCTCCAGAAAACCACACAGCAGCTTCACTCCTGAATCCTGCAGGTCGTTGTCATTTAGCTCCAGCACCCTCAGATGGGAGGGGTTGGACTTCAGAGCTGAGACCAGAGAATCACAGCTGATCTTCGACAATCCGCAGCCACTCAATCTGGAAAAAATAAAACATCATCTACATTTATTAATTCATGAATTTCATATGTTCTAATCAATGAACCTTTCTCTAAAATGAGTGCTGACTTGGTGATTCTGTTATGTGGATAATGTCTTAACATCAATCAGATCTTAGTCAACTCTGTAATAATTATTAAATCAGACTATTAAAAACTTATATTACATTCATTCTTTTGTGCTTTCTCTAATTCATAAAATCATGTCATTTTATAAAAAATGCTCAGACGTTTTATGTAGAATTCCATAATGACCAAATCATTAACTAAATACAAAATAATAACCCTTTGAACACCTGTCCCAGCAGTGAGGTGTCATATGAAACCACAGATTTAGAATATGCTCATCACTACTGTCACCTCCATCAAAACACTGACTGAGCTTCATCCTTATTATTTTATAACTGGATCAAATGCGCTCTGAGCAAACTGAGTTTATATTCTCTTAATCTTAAATGTTATGTAGTACCTATCCCCTTTTTTCTGAAGAGAATTGTGTTTTCCCCCAGCTTTCTTACAAGTGTAGGTCTATTTTGATCATAGAGTAAATTTAACTATTCAACTATTTGGATTGACAAACTTTGAATAACTGCTTTTGAGATTTGTTCTTAGTGGTTAGGGTAACCCCTGTTCCACAGAAAAATTAACCTAACAAAATCAAAACGTCAGATATGGATTTAAATTTGGTAGGGCAAGATTTACAAGACCAAATACAGCGATTTAACTGACCTCAGAGTCTCCAGTTCACAGTTTGGACTCTCTAGTCCAGTAGACAACAGCTTCACTGCTGAGTCCTGCAGTTTGTTGGAGTCAAGCAGCAGCTCTCTCAGATGGGAGGGGTTGGACTTCAGAACCGAGGCCAAAACTTCATACTGAGTCTCTGAGAGTCGACATCCAGAAAGTCTGTAATCACATATAATATACAGTACAATCAGAGAGGTATATTATGAAAAACTGCCCAATTAATGTCTATTAATCTTTTTTGTTTGTAGTGTCGATAAATCATTTCAGAATTCAGTTTTTCACTGTTTCACATGGAGGAATTACTAGGGATGTCCCAAAAATAATTGAAAGACATTTTCAAATAATTCCTAACACACAACACAAAGGGAAAAAGGCTTTTGTGGATCTTGAAAAACTTAAGATGCAGCCAAGACTACTTAGTTCCCGGAACAGGTAGCAGTCCTGAGTTGCTTCCAGGTCCAGCCTACCACAGAACGAAGCAAAGAAGTGCTCGCCTTGTGCATGTGTGGAGGGGCAGCCTCCACAACCCACAATACCCACAAACATCCTTGTGCATTTCAAACAGAAAGTATATGAATGTGTGTGCTAGAATATACAAAAAACAAACACACACACACACACACACACACACACACACTGTGTCACATTAACATCATAAAATAATGACTGCACGTTACCTATCGCTGATTAAAAAAAGACCTAGACCTGTTGTGTTCCTTGATATCTTCAGTTATGATTTGTCGCTAAAGAAATTAAATCAATTTGAATAACTGAATCAAATCAAATCAAATCAAATTAAATTGCCAGACTGGTGTTAAGTCTGTCTCAAAACGGTCTGTGACATGGCACTTATTTGTACACGTATTCATGTAAAAACAAAATTGTGAGTTTGGAACAGAACATACAACATTTTGAGTCAACATTTATGTATTGTAACTTTCTAAACGGAACAACAAAAAAATCATTATGGCATGTGCAAAGGTTTAGGCACTCTAAGAGTTCTGCAATCTCAGATTGTTTTTATAATGTCTCAGACCTTAATCAGCATTGCAGGCCTAGGGCATGTCAACAATTTCATCTGGGGCCATTTTTAAAGCTTTACAAATACTCTAACTCTCCAAACCTTGTTAAAAGTATGCAACAGAAAACAAGCCTGATGCATTTTGGAAAGGGCTATGTTCATGTCCAACATGGACTACCTCAAGAGATGCAAGCTGAAGGTTTTCACTCAGTCCTCTAAAAGAGCTGTGCATGCAAGAACTAAAAGCCTTTTGCAAAAAAATCACAAATACAAGAATACACCTTTAGCTGCTACAAACTTGTTTTCAGTGTCCAAACTTTTGCTGAAAATATTCTATTTTATGTTCCACATCCAAGGACGTCTGTGTTTAGATATTTTCACTTAAAAACTTGTTTTTTGTCAATCTATTATATTATATACAGTATGATTTAGCAATTATTTATCATTGTATGTACCATTACTATGGTGGTGACCAAAGACAGAGAGAGACGGCTACATTGGAGCAAAGTAGGTAATTTCCGAAGACAGTGGCTAAAGGAGCAGCTGAATTGTATTGCTTTACTAATGGCTGGGAGTTAAGATGACCAGCTGGATTTAATTTATACCAGTTGAAGGAGTATTCTAGTTAGAAAAGTGAAAAAGAAATTACTGTGAATGGGATTGAAAAAGTCAATAAAAATCATAATGTGTTCACGATGTGGAATATTATGAGATTATGAGACATTATTGAAAAATGTTTTAAAAAGTGGAAATGTGTATGTGTTTGTGTTTTTGGGATCTGAAAGACATGGAACATTTGAAACTGAGTTTCTAACTGAAAGTATGAATGAGTAGTTAAAACTGTGTGAAGTTTAAAACATTGGTTAGAAAAGTAATCAAATTTAAATAGTTACATTGCTTATTACATATTTAACAGGGTAACTAGTCATCTGTAACTTATAACATCTGAAAGGTAAACTTCCCAACACTATAAGTGACCGCACCACTGTACTCACTTCAGTTAGTCAGTATGTAGCTTGTACTATATTACTCAATGAAAGAAACTGTAACTAGATGGTGAACTACAAACGGTCAATACATTATTTGAAAGATATTAATACTTTTAGGTGATTCTGAACTTGCAATACCTCCAGGATGGATGATTACTTTATATTGTTGACAATCACATCTGGACTTACACAGCTTTTCTGCAGTTCCTCACAGCTGGGATCAGTCTCCGTCGTCCCTCCTCTGTTGTGTTGTACTTCTTCAGGTCAAACTCATCCAGAACTTCCTCTGACATCTGCAGCATGTAGGCCAGAGCTGAGCAGTGGATCTCAGAGAGTTCCTTCTCAGATCTGTTCTCTGACTTCAGGAACTCTTGGATCTCCTGATGGACTGAGTGGTCGTTCATCTCCATCAGACAGTGGAAGATGTTGATGCATCTGTCAGGAGAGGTACTGGTCCTCTTCTCCTTCAGGTTGCTGATGGCTCTCTGGATGATTTTTGGACTGTTGTCTGTCTGACCCAGCAGACCTCCTAAGAGTCTCTGGTTGGACTCCAGAGAGAGGCCATGGAGGAAGCGAACAAACAGGTCCAGGTGACCATTTTCACTCCTCAGAGATTTGTCCATGACTCTGCTCAGGAAGACATCCAGAGTTGAATCAACATGTTTTCTTCCAAGAAAAGCCTCCAGTACCTCTGTGTTCCTGTTGGTGTAACAGTGGAACATGAAGACTGCAGCCAGAAACTCCTGAATGCTCAGATGAACAAAGCAGTAGACTGTTTTCTGGAAGATCACACTCTCTCTTTTGAAGATCTCTGTACAAACTCCTGAGTACACCGAGGCCTCTGTGACATCAAGACCACACTGCTCCAGGTCTTCTTGGTAGAACATGATGTTTCCTTTCTGCAGCTGTTCAAACGCCAGCCTCCCCAACTTCAGAAGAACTTCCCTGTCAGCCTCCATCAGCTCCTGTGGACTCGTCTCATGTCCCTCATCATACTTCTGCTTCTTCCTCTTTGTCTGAACCAGCAGGAAGTGTGAGTACAGATCAGTCAGGGTCTTGGGCAGCTCTCCTCTCCGGTCTGTAGTCAACATGTGGTCCAGAACTGTAGCAGTGATCCAGCAGAAGACTGGGATTAGACACATGATGTGGAGGCTCCTGGAGGTCTTGATGTGTGAGATGATTCTGTTGGACAGATCTTCATCACTGACTCTCCTCCTAAAGTACTCCTCTTTCTGGGCGTCAGTGAAGCCTCGTACTTCTGTTACCCTGTCAACACATTCAGGAGGGATCTGATTGGCTGCTGCAGGTCTGGAAGTTATCCAGACGAGAGCCGAGGGAAGCAGATTCCCCTTGATGAGGTTTGTCAACAGCACACTGACTGAAGACTTCTGTGTGACGTCAGACACAACCTCATTGTTGTGGAATTCCAGTGAAAGTCTGCTTTCATCCAGACCGTCAAAGATGAACAAAAGTTTACAGACAGCGAGCTGCTCTGCTGTGACCTTCTGTAATGTTGGATGGAAAACATGGAGCAGCGTGAGAAGACTGTACTGCTCATCTTTGATCAGGTTCAGCTCCCTGAACGAAAGCAGAACCACCAGACTGACATTGTGGTTCTCCAAGCCCTCTGCCCAGTCCAGAGTGAACTTCTGCACTGTGACAGTTTTTCCAACGCCAGCGACGCCGTTTGTTAGAACCACTCTGATGTGTCTCTGTTGGTCAGGTAAGGCTTTAAAGATATCATGGTACTTGATTGGAGTCTCATTGTGGCTTTTTGGCATTTTGGAAGCTGTCTCAAGCTGCCAAACCTCATGTTGGGTATTCACCTCTTCACTCTGTCCCTCTGTGATGTAGAGCTCATTGTAGATCCTGTTGAGGAGGGTTCTACTTTCTGGTTCATCAATTCCTTCAGTCACACATTCACATCTCCTCTTCAGACTGATCTTATGTCCATCTAAAACCTCCTGCTGACCACTCTCTGCTGAAAGAGAAGAAACACAATTGTGAGAGTAAAGAAAAAGAGTTTGAGAATCTGGTGATTGTTTTAATCACAAAATTGATCAATATAAGAATAAGGAGACTAAGAATAAGTATTAAAGGTTAAAGTCCACCTGAAATCACAAGTAGTGTTGTAAGTTTGTGCAAAAAATAGAGCTGTATGCAGTAATATTTGATCAAGTACACTTCACTTCTTATCCATGGTCTATGTTTTGGGATATTCTACCATTGAGTAGTTTTCTCCTGCTTTGTAACAAAGTAAATGATAACTATTAAATCATACCTGCTTACTGCCCATATTATAAGTATATTAATAAAGAAGAAAAGGGAGAGGAAAGGTGCCACCCAAAAGGGAGCTGGCGTGTATCAATAGACTCTGACAGGCTTCTGAAAAAATGGGCAGCCAGTTGATCAAGTATACACTATTACAATGAATTGCTATATGTAATAATTCAGATCAGTGTATATGATGGAATGGTGGCCTGAGAATATGCCAGAGGCCTCCTTATTTGGAGGAAAAGTATTCCCTAATTTCTCCCACTGGCTGGCTACTCCACATGAGTGTGGAAAGCATTACTGCTTTAAACAGAGTTGAATAGTTTTCAATTTGTATCTATGCAGACGGGTCACATTCAGCATTCTGATTGGTAGGCAGCATCTTAAAAAAAAAAAACATTTCTTTTGGGTTCAGGATGTTTTTTAATGGAAATATGATGGCCTCGGCAGACAGGTGTAAAGTCTTACGTTGTACAGAGCTGGTCTGCAGTCCAGCTCTTGTTCTGGATCTTTTTCCACACTGGGGACAGGAGGAGTCTCCCGATGAAGCAGACTGGTCCCAGTATGAGGTGATGCACTGTCTGCAGAACCAGTGTCCACAGCTGGTAGAGACTGGATCCTTCAGGACGTCCTGACACAAAACACAGCAAGACAGCTGCTCCTCCACAGGAACACGACTCCTCTTCCTCGCTCTGTGAAGATATTTCATTCACATTAAACATTAAAATGATTTATTGATTATTTTTAAAATATCAAGAAGACAGACAGTGACACAGTAAAAGTGTCGTTATTCTTCTGTTTGAATTCAGCATTCAGTCTGTAAAGAAAATGAGTGTTCCTTTTTTATATCATAATAAAATAAATTATAACAGTCTATAGTTTGCTATTAATACAAACTCAACACTTGCTGCTGCTACTTCACAGTGAAATTCTCCATTAAAGAGAGCTGATTATGTTGCTTTTTTGCATTAACTCTGGACAGCTTCGTTATTTAAGTTTGAACTGATGTTAAACGAACGTGTCCTTAAATGTTCAAATGTACCAGCAGTGTCTCAGCCTGAAGCGTTCTTTGTCATTCCATTTATATTTACTGTTACCAGCCCTTGGAGACACAACACACAACAAAATATTTTTAGAACTTATTTCTGTCCACATGAGATTTGGTGGTAAATTCAGTTCCTCCGTGAGCCCCAGTTTAAAAAGGTTGCTGACTGTGAAATGTTTTTATGAAAGAAAATGAAAGGAGGCGTTTGGGGCAAGGCCCCAAGGCTCTGGAACAATCTGCCCAAGGAAATCAGGTGGTCTAAATCAGTGGTCTCCTTTAAATCCCTGGGATTATTAAAGTATTTCTGATTCTGATTCTGATTTATTCAGGATTTTCCTTGAATTTTAATTTTCCTTAACTGTCTTTTATTTCCTATAATGTTTTACTTGTTTAATCTAATTTTCTTTTCAAATCTGATAATATTAAGATGCCTTTTGTTTTGTTTTTTGTGAAGCACTTTGTGACATGGATTTTGAAGTGCTCTATAAATAGAGATCATTATTATTATTTTGCTGCAGAAATACCATCAGTAGTTTGTGGTTATAAAACCCAGACTAAGATTCATCTTGAAACAGCCTCTGTACTAATAGTTCTGCATCAATGAATTCTTTTAGCAGAATAACCCTAACCCTTGATAAATTCTCTTAAGACAAAATCATTTAGAGGCTGTAAATACACAAACTAAAAGAAACTGAACATGAGCCCTGTAATGAGTTCTCTTACTTTGTGTCTGAGGGTCCAGGTTCCTTACTGAAGTTCAGAGGTGGACTTTTGGACCGGACACTCTTCATAGACAGACGGGACACTGGAGACATTGCTCTTTCCTTCTCTTCCCCCACATAATCATCCATCTTCTGGTCTACACGCAGCCTGAGAGGTAAAACAGTAACACTGACTGAGCTCAGAACATTACAATAAAGAAAAACAAGTTTGTTCAAGAGTCACACTCAAGACTGAGAGAACAGAAAGAGACATGGGGAACAGACATTAACATTGCCGTAACAAGTGTGAAACATTATACGTACACCGATCTGCCCTAACACTGTGAGCACTGACATTGAATAACTGATTATCTGGGTGCAGAGCAGTCTGTTGTTTATGGGGCCACCCAGGAGGTCAAAAAGAAAAGCAATGAGCCAGAAAAAGAAAATGAGAAAAATACAGAAGAGGAATCAGAAAATGGGAACAATGGTAAAGGACAAGCTCAGAAAAATGCAAAGGGACAGAAAGATGACAAATGATGCAGATGAGTCGACACCAACAGATTGAAAATGACAGTGAGACAGAACTGACAGAAAAGGAGACAAATGTTAAAATAAAATAAAACAGTGATGTTCATGGCTTACAGCTGAACAAAGGAGCAGCCAGCCAGGAAAGCAGATAGAGGAACAGGTGTCATCCAGCTCTGAGTCTGAATGGAGGGATGATCACGACTGAGAGCACAACCATTTTTGACTTTTGAAGAACTAAAAAGTGGAGAATAAAAGTAAAAAATGACTTTACAGTGAAGGAAAAATAAAACAGTTTCTAAAGTCAACAAAAAATATGAGGAGGGAAATGTGCAATGACTCAATTAGTAAAAACTCAGAGTTAGGTTGATAAATGAAGAGAACAGAACCATTCCTTTGGCTATACTGGATAGATTGTATTGCTTTAAGCATTAATTTAGGCTGGTCAAAGGATGCAGCACAGTATCACAGATCATTCTATGGATATTTTTAATCTTTTAGTTTCAAATATTAAACATAAAAGTGCATATTGGAATCTTTACCCTGCCTTGATTATGGATGTTAATTTTAAAGAACATTTGACTTCCTTCTTTTACTTTCTTGGAACATATTATTATTTACCTATATTTATTATTTATATTCTTGTCCAAGATCAAGGTGGTGGCATACAGTACATCACCCATCAAGACCAAACATATTGTGTGCCTGGTAGGTTGATCTTTGATAATATATCATTAATCAATAATAAAAATAATATTTTGGAAGTAATTTGTGCATAGAAACTGGTCTCCACATTGAGCACCATTACCTGTGGAAAGGTTTGGCCTCAGTCCTGGTGTCATTGTCATGATCAAAGCAATGTATGAGGACATTGAGAGTATGTGGAACATTATTAGTGTGTGTGTGTGTGTGTGTGTGTGTGTGTGTGTGAGTGAGTGTGTGTGTGTGAGTGAGAGAGAGAGATCATAATATAATCTCCTCAATCATGGATGATAAATTAGATTTCAGTCCTGGTTTTGAATGAAAATGAAAATTGTATTTTGATGATGTTTGTTTACTTGAATGAATATTAATGATACCAGTGTAAATAAAGGATTTTAAAAATCTTTCTCAAATTCTAATTCAAATGTTTTTTTTAGGCATGATGTCACGCTGTACGTAACTAAAGAACAGAAACATACAACAAGACAAAACATATAAAACTGATCAAATATAACAGCACCATGCGTTAGGTAACTGTCACTCAATGTCCCTCAGTTTATGGCAGGCAGCAGCTCTTTAACACCTCCCCTAGTTTGTCTTCATCTAACAGGTTAAGAAACCCTTTTGACATTAATTTGAAAATGTTTGAATCTGCTTCTCTGAGATGTTCATACTTTGCCCATTAGGTGGAAGTGTAGCTCTGTTTCAGGTTCACTGAGGGTGCAGCGACAGCACAGTCTTCTCTCTGCAGGAAGTCGGGTTTTCCTGGTTCCCATTTTTAAAAGCGAGGCTACGTTCACTCAGTCTGCACTTTGTTAAGGTTCTGTTTTGGTGTTTATCAGTGACCATGTTCAAATAATCAGCTAAGGTGCACTATCCATTTAGAGCCAGATGACACTGCATTTTGCTCTGTGCTTCTGGTTTTATTTTGGTTTATCAGTTAGGGTATGAAGGGTGTTAGTATGACTGGTTGTCTGGTGTTTTGGTATAAATCAAATCTTGCTTGGTAACAAAGTTCATACTCATAAAACTACAGAAAACCTTCCCCAGATTACTGTTCACACAAATGCCTCAGTAATTATTAGGATCCAGTTTTTATAGATTGGGGTTATAAGTCCATGATTCCTGATGTCAGGAAAATAACCTACACAGCACCACACAGAACACCTCTAATATAGCTAGTTGGAATTTCTTCTTCATGTTTTGAATAGTCAGGGGTTGTTCAGATGTTTCCTTTGCTGCCAAAAACTTGTTGCATTGACCTGTGGCCAGCCTCTCTCTCCCTCTCTCTCTCTCTCTCTCTCTCTCACACACACACACACACACACACACACACACACACACACACACACACACACACACACACACATATAGTCTAAACACTTTGGTGTACAGTCCAGAACCACTGACCCAGAGACTTTGACAGTAAAAGAATAATAATATTAACACTCACCCTGTCTCACCTCTCCGTTTCCTCCTCCTGCTCTGTCCACTCAAATCAACCAACTGAACACTTTTAGTTTCAGGTTCCCACCCAGTTCTCATGTATCCACATCACATGGACAGTGTGGCTCAGCTCCTCCCATCTCCATTTACAGGAAATCAGCTGAGTTTGTGTAAGGGTGCATGCTGGTCTTATTCCTGCCGTTCAATTTTCAGTCCTGGGAACATTCCCTGACAGTTATTTTGGAAACTTTGAAATGTTCCTGGAATGTTCCTGTTCCAGTTTCTTAAATAAAACAATAAAAAATGTTGTTTGCACATTATTATTACAAACTTTATTTTTCACTATTGAACACAAATTGAAGCAAACCTTGTGCTGAATCACTAAAGCAACAGTTGTAACAGAGAGACAATCAGGAAAGAGCACAGAGCTAGTTATCACCCCACAATACTACACAGAATACACACAGTTTACCGTAGTAATGTCTGTGGCATCTCCTGACAGTAGATGAATATTAAGTAAATATTGAGATATTTTTTCAGCTGAGGCTTCTCGTTTGGTCACTCTCTCATTTTCTCTTCTTAGCTTCCTCTGTCAATGTCCTCTTCAGCCTCTTTGGCCCCACCATATCCGTAGAGGCTGCCGAGCTCGGTTTTATTGCCCACTCAGTTGTGTCCAGTTCTGGTACGACACAACAGAGTTGAGGCGGTGCAGCCAGACGTCATAAAAGGGAAAACCAGAAAACATTTTCTCCATAAAATTTGATCCAGTTTCGCTAAAATCACTTATATACAGTAGCTAGTGATGTTTGACTTAATGCCATTAAGTGGCAACTAAAAGATGCCAATTTGACAATTTTGTTTCTTTTACATTAGACTGCATTATATACAGGTGGCATACAGCACAAATCATTCAATATGAAATTCTGCTGGTTTATTATAGATTTATAATTGTACAATATGGTGTAAATTGTCGTGGATGTGGCTCAACAGTTTCATATGTAAAAAATAATTTAGTGTTTGTTTTTAGTTATTTTGAGACATATTCATACAAAACAAAATCTGGAAACATGATTTTGTAGTTTATTTATTTATTTATTATTATTATTATTGTTATTATTATAAGTAGTAGTAATAGTAGAAGTACATATATTTTTCAAATTCAACAAAACAAGGTATTATACAAATTAAAACAAACATGTTTATAAACATCTTTGTCACAAACCGCACAGAAAAACAAGACAAGCCCCACAACCAGGAACAGGAAGACAAAGTGGAGTGGGTCGTCACCATAAGACGGGGGTCCCACAGGAACACAAAAATGTACTCAAGTAAATAACACAACTAATCCTTCCAGTCCCAAAGCCATTCCCCCAGCAACCGCTCAACCTGTAAGGAGCAAACTTAAGGGAATGTAGAGGAAGAGGAATCACAGGAGATAAACTACTTTCTATCTGCTACTCTAAAACTGGAGCCATGGAGTGATAAACGATGCTACTTCCTGTGCTCTTCTGGACAAAGGTACTTGCCAGTATTCCTTGAGAAGATCAAATTTGCTGACATATTTAGCAGCTCCAACCTGGTCTACACAGTCCTCCATACGAGGCAATGGAAAAGAATCGTACTTTGTGACCTTGTTGACCTTTCGAAAATCTCAACAAAATCTAGGTGTGTTGTCACTTTTAGGCACCAATAAAAATGGAGAAGCCCAGCTTGATGAGGATGGCACTGTCATTTTCAACCACATATCCTACCTCAGCATCTAAATATTTATGTTTCTCAGGAGAAACTCTATAAAAATGCTGATGGATAGGCTGTGCATCACCCACATCAATATTGTGCTCCACCCAGTTAACGCGGGAAGGCACATCATCACATCACATTTCAACATTTAATTTTAATTTCATTATTTATTTCATTAAGACATAGTCTATATTAATTTAGTTGTGGCACTTTTGTTCCTCTTGTACTTTTTATGTTTATATGTACAAAAAACATATATTTTTATAATTCATAAAATATAATTTATTAAATAGAATTCTCTTACTATCTTCAAACACATTAATTTACATTATAGTTTCACTAAAGTTTTTGCACTTTTGTAAGCCCTAAAAAAATAAAAAATAACGTTTATTATATGTTCACACTCTGATTGGTGTCCAATCATAAGCAGAGCGGCTGGATGATCACACCTCATGTCTTTTTCTGTGGTGAAGAAGCAGATGAAGACTCCATTTAATGCTTGGGGAGACTACTGGGCTGCGTGGTAACCAGCTAAAAGGTACCAGCACATTGATACTGATCCCTCAAAGGATCAATGTTGCATGCATTGATCCTCTAATTACAGACTGCACTGAGATTAGCTGCATGTTATCAATAAGTGTTGACTTGGATAGGTGTATGAATGTTGTGCAGACATTTAGATGATGTCTGTAGAAGGCTGACATTATGATGATCCACAATAACACAATGACAAAGTCACTTTAGTCTTTTGATTTTGTTGATTAGAACATAGTAATGTTGAGTGACACATTTAAAACACATCTGATTGGATTATAAATTAATTTGATCTACATAATTTATCCTTTATTCAGACTGAGTTACTGCAGGTTGTCAGAGATCAGCTGTGATTATCTGGTCTCAGCTCTGAAGTCCAACCCCTCCCATCTGAGAGAGCTGGACCTGAGTGGAAACAACAAGCTGCAGGATTCAGGAGTGAAGCTGTTGTGTAATTTTCTGGAGAGTCCACACTGTAGACTGGAGACTCTGAGGTCAGTAGAGGGTTGGAACATTGACAACATAAAGTGAAGCCAACAAAGTGTCTTAAAACCTGCCTTCTTTGTAAATCCCAGCAGGGGGAGCTCTAATAAAATACAGATACTATTCACTCTAATGGAGAATGAGCCGACTTCTCACTTCATTTATGAGCTCAGTAAACAGTTTCCAGTTCTTGGTCTCAGTCACTTGTTTCAAGTCTTCTTATGTCTTAAGTCCTCATTATGATGTTCATTTAGTAAATGATGGTCCAATTTAGAGTAAAATAGACGATAAAGCTGCATATGCGTTTGGGTGGGGCTACCTTATGATTGACAGCTCATTCCCAGTGAGATCAAACTAGCAAATTAGGCAGTATACAAAGCAACATTCTGTTATTACACTGACTATTTCTCATGAAATCGTTTCAGAAACATATTTTAGTCTACTGTTTAGCTGTAATCCAAGAACGTGTGTGAACAGGTGAGCCACTGTTGTTTCCTGATACAGACGATGACTGATCTTGTGGACACTTACCTAAAGGCAGAGAACAGTCAGCTGATCAGATCGGCCAGAAGCTCGTTGAGATCGTGTGTTTGAATTGATGTGAAGATGATCATGTGTTCAGGAAATAAAGCTGGATTACAGCTGACAGCATTACAAAATATATAGCAAAGTGGTTCCTCATTCATCCAGTGTGAACTCACAGTGTTTGTTCTCCTCATTCCAACACTAAAGAATTGATCAGTTGGTCTTTGTCACAGCTCAGATCAGTCTGACTGAAGCCTGTAAACAACCAACATTACATTACAGTAACTATGTGGTCTTTCTACAGAACAGGACATCTGTTAAAGTATTTTGTAGTATTACAGCTTTGTTTTGTTGTTCAGTCTTTGATCATATTTTACCTTTTAGTCATGTAATATTTTAAAACTCTAAAATCTCTCTCTTTAAACCTTAACAGCAGTAAATCCATCATGAGTGAAAAGCATATCTCTTCTATAGTAATGATGCATTCGGGGACTGTCTGTACTTTATTCCCACTGTGTACTTCAGTGAAATCTACAGAGTACAAAGACTTGATGCCCAAAGTGTCTGCAGATCTGTGAGCTTCAGCTCAGTGTGTTCACTCCAATACGTTAACATGAGAGCTGAAAGGAAGCAGGCTACGCTACCCAGCCGCTCCACTGCTGGTCTGAACTGGACTGAAGTCCCTGCTGCTCTTTATACTGGATGTGCTGCATCACTGACTGACAGGTGTTGAAGGGAATCTCTGTAAACTCTGATTTATGATTTCTGTTGTTTACCTGTAGATCATTTTTTTGTACTATGGAGGACAGACTTGTCTTTGGTTTGGATTCATACTCCAAAGCTTAGTCAAATGTATTCAATCATGTAACATGAACAATTAACCAGAACAATAAATCTTTTGGCACACGTCTTTGTCCTTTTTTAAAGTTCAGGGTCGCCTGTAGTATGATGCTTTATCAGTCCTCAACATAAGCACAGTTTGCATATGGGGTGTCACCATATTTAGCTCCAAACGACATTTTAAAAAGTGATTTTTTTACAGCAATATTTGTGAACTTTGTTTACTTTTCTAATCTAAATGATGTATTAATATAACGTCAATATTAAACTTAAAGGTTAAAGGTCGACATGTTGTCATTTTAATTGTACATTAGCCCCTCTCTCAGATCGCCTATACATAAATCTGGGTCTGTATTTAGTTTGAAACTTGAACTGCACAGTAAAACACTCTAGAGTGGGTTTACCAGCAGTGGCGGAACTAGACTTTTATACAAGAAGTGGCCAGAGGGTGGTCAAGGCTTTATCAGGGGGGCCATATACTAGGCCTAATAAAGGAAAATCCGGGGGATTCTTTAACCTGGTACCTAACATGCCTTCTTGACTGTTGAGTTAAACTCAGGAAAAAGAGTTTAATGATGAACGGAAAGTGGCTGGAGAATTCTAAATTCTGAAACAAGTTACAAAAAAAACAGATTGTTTATGTTTATGAATGGCAGAGGAACTGCTCTTGTTCTAAAACGTCAGGTTGTTGTCATGGTTACGGAAGTAAGCAAGAAGACAGACTTTTTAATAGTGGTTGCAATATTTGTGTAGGCAGACAGACAGAGTGTATATCTGATTATTTGACTGTGTTAACATCCATAAAATAAAGCAGCTTCAAGTGAACTACATCTCAGTGTCCGCCTGTGTTTCCGGCTGCAACATTATCATTCACAACCAAGAGTTAATAAAGTAATACAGTACTGTAATGGAACATTTGTATTACAGGCTTGAGTGTTCCTCCCACCCAGTGATTGTTGAATAAAATCTCAGTAATGTGTTTTCAGTGTGTT